TTCCTCTCTGTTGATGATTCAAACTGTGTTAAACATAAGCCGAGCTCATTCCGTTCTGTTTGCCTCCTTTTTATGTTTTTTTGTTTTGTTTTAACTTCTCTTGTTTCTTATGCATCTGTGTGTTGTTACTAACCCCTCCCCCTTAATGCTAACACTTTTTAAAAGCTTAACCAGGGACGAAGGCTGCTAATTAGCCCACGGCTACAAGCCTTATGTACTTGGACACCGGCCACCTGTTTGGTTGCAATGTTTAATTGTACTGTCCCTGTCAAATAAATAAATTAATAAATAAAAATCCTACACCAGGAGGAGCTGCACCACTTTGAGACCAAGGTGGAGAAGCACAGCCACTACCAGGAGCAGCTGGAGCTGTCCCACCAGAAGCTGCAGCACGTGGAAACTCTGGGGGACGAAGAGCACATCCGGAGGAACCAGCAGAAGTACGACTCACTGGCCGAGAAAACCCGGGAGATGGGATACAAGGTGAGCGGGGACCCGCCGGAGAGCCGGGAAAACTCAAAGATGTGTGGTCATTCACACTAAATATAGTCTTTTTACTTGTTAAAGGTAGGGTTGTCAAAAGTATTGATACTAAAACGTTGTATCTGGATACGATACTCATTTTCTAAAATATCGATACCCCCCTTTCTCTCTGATTAATTTATTTATTTACGTTCTTTATGATTGTTAACATGACGTTAGCCTTGAATTGCTAGCTGCGGCTAATGGCTAATAATAACACGCCAACATTAATCGAGTCGGCCATTTTGATTAGGTCACCAATAGGAAGATCCCCGGCAAGAAAATCCTTATTGCTTCATGGCAATATAGACATTCATTTAAAAATAGTTAAATTAATCTTGCAAACACTGAATTAAACTCTATCCATAATGTTATGTTAAAATAGTGGATGTTAAATAGGTTTGTACAATAAGTCCAAACAAGTTTAACCAAAAAATATTTATTTGTCACAATTATGAAGGGTGGAGGGTTAGGGTTAGGGTCAGGGTTAGGGTTAGGTTTAGGTTTAGGGGTTAGGGTTAGGATCAGGGTTAGGTTTAGGGTTAGGGTCATTAATGTGGGCCACCATAACGTCAGTAACAGGTCAGTTTGAAACAAAAGACACTAACCTGTCAAAATTCAGTTAAATTTAAGGGTCTTTGTTTTTATCCTTGTGGTATCGAAAATGGTAGCGAGTATCGAATATTTTCCTGAGTATCGGTATCAAGTTAAACATTTTAGTATCGGGATAACCCTAGTTAAAAGGGACGCAGGCACCCAGTTTGACTGGCCATTTCCAATTTTATCTCTGGTGAATTTAACCATAAGTCCGATTCTCTGCAAACAGGACTCAGTAGTTGTCTTCATGTAGTAAATTTGTCTCAAGATGACCCAGAAATCAGCGTCTGGCAGATGTTAAACCAAGTCTGTCTTCATAAAAACAAAAAGAAAACAGCTCAACTCTTAACCTGTGTGTGTTCAGCTCCTTTACAGAAGCCTTTAAATGATCCCAGAGCTCACATGTGATGTTTTCCTGATGTGATTCCAGATGAAGAAGCACATGCAGGACCTGTCCAACAAGATCTCCCGACAGGGACTTCAGCACAACGAGCTGTGACGTCCCACTGTCTGTTTTTTTACTTTTGTACAGTACGAATCACTGAACAGAATCAAACTCATTGTCTCAACAAATTACATGTGAATACGCTCGATCAAAGATCAAAAAACGACCGGACGGCTTCAAAAGGGGTGAGTTTTTTCTCAGAGCAGCTTTGATTAGTCGGATTTATGGAAAGCTCACATGGAAGAAATGTCATCTGAGGACATAAAAAGTGAAGATGTGGCTTAACTTCTTCCTTTTTTTGTTGTTGAGAGACCAACCGGAGTCCCGTCCAGTCAACAAACGGATGTAAATGAGTCCACGCCGTCCTGTTTTTCATAATAAATCAAGATGAAGTAGTTTCTGTGATGCCCAGCTCAAAGTTCACATCAAATCAGAGTCAGAGACTCAGACCTGAGAATAAAACAGCAGTCTTTAATTTTTACAAATCATACATTTGTGTTTTCAAAAACATAGTTAAATAAGAAAATGGTGGCGTTTAGGGGAAAAGCAGTGAATATGTACAGTTCCTGTTCTTTCCTTCCCTCAGAGGCACCGAACCCCCCTGAATTAAATTAAATTAGCCTCTA